GTCCAAATTTAAGTTAGTTTTTCTACTGATTTGGCTGGGAGTGAGGTTGGGTGCTGAACTGGGAAAGAAATCAAAATGCTGCTGAATAACAAACACAAATTGCTGATGCTTTTATAAAGTGAAAACATATCTTTTAATCTGTTAGCTCTCTGAAGTGAACGATCATTTAGGAGCTCTTCTGTTTTCATGTTTGATTAGGAGATAATTCCAAGGATTTTTTAAAAAACAAAATAACACTCCATTTGTTACCAGAAGTACTCTTACCTTGTTCACTTGTTTCTCAAGAGTTGCAGAATTAACATCTTTAGCACCAGCTGGTTTGCATATAATCACTATTCAGTGTTGTCCTCTTCCAGCTCTGTTTTTTTCAGAGATGAAACAGACAAAAACATGTAACAAGCAGTCAGCTGTAGACTTGTTGAAATAATGACCTTTTCTTCATTATGCATTTCTACAGCTATAAATCACTGGCCTCTAGTTTTAACCATAATTATAATTTTAACATCCAAGAGTTTGCCAACATTATTAGTTGCAAATATAAATGCACTTTTCGATGACTGAGAAACAGAACATGACAGATGCCATGCGCTTGATTTAGCTGCTCCAACTAGTGTAAACAAGATCCGAGACCAAAAAAGGTAGTTCAAATGTATCCTGATATATGGAGATTAAATTTAAAACATATGTGCATTTAACATAGCTCTGTCCAAACTATATTTTTCATGTATTACAGCCATCAGTGTCTAGTAGAGGGAGAAAAATTATTGTAGAATAAATAACCTGCATTTTGAATTTTGTTTATGGTAATGTGGATGGAATTGATAGAATGGACTGAAATATATCATTACAGATACTAGGTTTGAAGTGGATGTTAAATTTCATTCATACTATAAGACCCTCTTATTTAACTACAGTATAACATATAAGAATGAGAGATTGGAGATACACTGTAAGCTCTTCACTGATAAACAAGAAAAAGAAGTTTGCAGGCGTCCAGCATGCTTCAACTATGGTGTAAGGAAAAAAAAAAGAATTTAAAGAAATTTGCAGATACAAAAATCTGAGATATTAAAAGTACATAAGTTAATGCAATTTTTGTAAGCTTTACGCCAGTACTCTCACAAGCAGTAGAAACAATTAAACTGAAATAAAAAGAACTTGTTTCTAAGAAATGTCTTAAAAAGTTAGACTAAGTATATCACTGTAGACAATGAGAAGTAGCTTTTAAGTTCAGTAGGGACAAGGCAATGTTTTGCGGCAGCCAGCTGCCACTCTTTAAGAAAAGGTAAATTTACAATTACACTGAGCATTTTAAAGTGATATTTACATACAAAGGGGCAGATAGAGGCTGGTGGCCATACTGTAGGGATGCAGCTAATCATGGAACAAGGGGAATCTGCTTACCAAATTATGGCATGGTGCACATAGGTGGCAGCCAGCAAAACCTGGCTGAACAAGGTGGATACATCATCAGGGATGGATATTTCTCCACTCAGGACCACCACTGAATCCCTTTCCCTGTGAGCATGGTGAAGAATGTGTGCTGTTCTTGCTTCATACTCTTTTCCATTTCTCTCTAAATCACCTTGTCTAAATCTTCCTCTGCTCCAGTGTCTTTCCCTTTCCCTCCTCTTGCTTCTTTTGTTCTTTTAAACTTCTAGAAAAGGCTCTGTGCTAACTGCCTCTTCCTTCCAAACACAACAAACCTTACTTTCCCCACATGCAGGGCGCCTTTTCCCCTTCATTTGTTCCTACAACCCCCTTGCTTACTTTCATTTGTTTATTTTCACTGCTGCCAGTTTTGCAATCTTACAATGAATCTCAATGCTTTTCTTAAAGCTTTATGACAGTGTGGGAATTTCAGCTGGGAACATCTCTACGTTTCTATTAGTCAATATTAGCAATCACTTGAAGAAGAAAACCTTGATGGTATGGAGCCTAATGAATGGTTCAGTAGCTAAAGGAAAGGAAAAGAGTTTACTCAGTGAACCCAGTCGCTGGGTATCTTCAGTGTTTTAAGCCACCTGTCCCTGCATGTGAAGCAATGGCTCACATTCTACTTTCTCTGGTAGAAAAGCTCTTTTTATAACTTCTTTAAATATCTGGACCCAAGCTAACCTGAATACTGTTTCTGCTGACCAGCAAGGGTTTTGGAAGGATTGGTGTATACAGCAGCAATGGTTATCAGCTCAGCTCACACCTAAGCTAGCTCTTGGGACCAAAAGGGTGGAGATGCTGCTGTAAGCATCTCAAGCACCTATTATAAGGCTTATGAGGGTTAGGACTCTGAGCTGAGTGTAGAGAAAAGACAGCTGCGTAAATATAGCCTAAAAGTTACATACTAAGCGCCTTTTTTTTATGTTGGGTTAGGAAACCAGTAATTTCAGTGTACTTTGGGATTTTTTTTCCTATAACTGAGGACTCTCGTTTTTTTGCATGGAACATGGCTGCCATCTACTGCTGTACACAGGATCCATCTGTTTGGAAGAATCCGTGTGGATTTTTCCCTTGTACTAGGCACTGGTGAGGCCACACCTCGAGTCCTGTGTCCAGTTCTGTATCCCTCAATTCAGGAAGGATGCTAAGATTCTGGAGTGATTCCAGAGAAGGGCAATAAAGCTGGTGAAGGGAATGGAGCACAACTCTTATGAGAAGTAGCTGAGGGAGCTGGGGTTGTTCAGCCTGGAGAAGAGGAGGCTCAGGGGAGACCTTAATCACTCTCTACAACCACCTGAAAGGAGGCTGTAGGCAAGTGGGGATTGGCATCTTCTTCCAGGCAACCAGGGACAGGATGACAGGACAGTCTCAAGCTGTGCCACAGGAGATTTAGGTTGGACATTAGGAGGAATTTCTTCACAGAGAGGATGATTTGGAATTGGAATGGGCTGTTCAGAGAGGTGATGAAGACACTGTCCCTGGAAGTGTTTGAGTAAAGACTGGATGTGGCACTTAATGCCATGGTCTAGTTGACATGGTGGTGTTCGATCACAGGTTGGACTCAATCTCAGAGGTCTTTTCCAACCTAATTGATTCTGTGACTGGTGTTACCCGGTAGAAGGAGCTGGCTGGTAGACCACTCAGTTTTAATAGCTGCATATAAAGTGCTACTATTATTGGTGGTCTTCCATGTTTCTTTACTCAGCTGACCAGAGGGTGAGGAGGAAATACAGTCATGTTTAGCAACTTTGTTGGGCCCTTCTCTCTTTGCTTGTAAAATACCTTTTGTTTCTTTAGTTGTTATTCTCTCTACCTTGAAACCATCCTATGCAAATACTTTTACTTGCTCTATTATTTTGCTTTCTACTTCTAAGGATCTTCAAAACCTGAATTCACAAGTTTGTTTGTCAAAAAAAATGTTTAGGGAACTAGTCTTTCTCTAGGGACCTTCCTGTAACCTTTTATCCACTTCTTGATCTTTATGTCTACAAAAATTCTTTTAATCGTGTCTTTTAAACAAAGCTGGGCCACTGATAAGAACTGCTTCCTGTTTGCGTAACCTCTCTGCGGAATTTCACTCATTACAAAAGATCAACTAGTTTTGAACAATGCACTTGATGAAACCTTTCCAATTCAGTGATAAACTGTCCATAGAACACCATCAAGCACCACTTGACTCACATACCTCACAAATGGCCATGTCTAAATTTACTTACTGCACCAGTATGGCGGCCCTGTATCTTTTTTTAGTGTTATTGACATCCCAGTCACAAAGGGGACAATTACTTTAAAAACATTTACTCAGAAAGCTGTCTTGTAACTTGCATTTTAAAAAGATAAATTGAAGTAAAAAGATTCCACAGAAGCTAAAATTGGTTGAATTTGGCCTGGAGTAGCCTATTCTATAAGGTATTCCTTTGCCCCAAGGCTAAAAAAACCTTATCTCATGTGATGTCCATCAATAAATTGCCAGTTGTGAGGCTTTGGGAGCTGCTGTGATAATGCAAAGGATACATTATACTGAGCTTCACTTGCATTGAATTTGAACTGATTTTATTCTAAAATCCTGGAGGCTGCTTGATAAACGTATTTGTTTTCATTTTTACCATGAGATCAAAGAATGAGCAGAACTGCCTAATTCAGTGTTCTGCATCTGAGTTCCAGTTTAAGCAGTCGGGACATTTCTGTGGCTTTACAACAGATTTTGTAGTCCAGGTTTAATATTAAATATAAGGCTGAGTAGCAGAAGTATGCTCCAAGATCCATGGGATTAAATAGTCTGATCTGCCTTTGGTGTACCTTCCGAATGTGTAAAATAATACTTTTGCATTTTTATCTCTAACTACATAGATGGGTCATTATAATTAATCTGTATTCAGACAATAATCTCTGCATCTGTATCTTAAAACTCATCTAGATAGATACATAGAAGGATATAGATACATATATAGGAGAACGTACATATATGTACGTTTATATACATATATATACAAATAAATATACATATATAGGGAATAAACCCGCAAAAGCTGCGGCTGCTGCTCTGCTGAAATACTAATTTTCTAAGCCTGAACATCCCCCCAACCTCTTCCTTTCAAAGGCAAAATTCCCACTGACTTAAAAAGAAGTTGTCATGGATGTAAAAAGTTTGTTCATAAAAGGACTTCCGTAAGGCATAACAGCGTAATGAGAAGAATGAAAAAATATGCAGATCTGCTAAACAAAACTGGAGAATGAAATAGCTTGAGTGCTTTTAAAAAGAAAAACGACAGCTAACATACACACTTATGATTGAAACATCTCGTGTATTCAAGCTGACGCACACACAGCGAGCTGATTTATGTCTTACGTGGCACATAAAAGAGCGGACTGTCCCTGAAATTTGGAAGTGCTCTCGTGCTCACGGGGAAGGCGATTCCGAGGGTTGTTTATCCCCTGCCATCGCCAAAGATGGCGGTGGCGGCGGCGCCGCCGCTCCGGCACCGCCCGGCGGGCGGGCGGGCGCTTCCGCCGGGGCCGGGGCCGGGGCCTGGCGGCTCCTCCGCGGCTCGGCGGAGGCCCGGGCGGGGGCCATGGGCACCACGGCGGGCGGTGCCGGCGGGGCCCTGCGGCTGCCCGGGCTGCACGGCTACGCGGCGGAGTTCTCGCCCTACTGGCCGGGGCGAGTGGCCTGCGCCGCCGCGCAGTACTACGGCATGGCAGGTGCGGGGGGCGGCAGCGGCGGGGGGAGACCGGGAACGTGGCTCCTCACGGGAGGAGGAGGAGGCGGCTGGAAACGTGGGTGTGCGGAAGGACAGACGGTGTCTGCGAAAGTGTTTGGGCACGACTTCCCTTTACGCTGCGTTGGTTTAGCCATGGGACAGCGCCTGTGCCCCGCGGCAAGGCTTGGGGTTGGTGCGGGAGCTGCTCGTGCCGCCCCCAGCCCCCCGGGATGTGCCTGTTCCCGAGTCCCAGCCCGCTGGTGCCGTGTGTTCCCACAGCGCCCTCGCGGAGGAGCGCTCGTTTGGTAGGGTCGAGAATAAATACATTAGTAAAGGCGTGCACATGGTGAATGAAATGTCTGAAAAAGACTTTCTCCGGTGACAGGACCCAAGGGAACGGCACGAAGCTGTTTTAGGGGAGGTTTAGGTTAGCTCTTAGGAAAATGTTCATCCGCGAGAGCTGTTTGGGCACTGGAACGGGCTCCCCAGGGAAGTGGTCACAGCACCAAGCCTGACAGAGTTCAAGAAGTGTTTGGACAACGCTCTAAGGTACATGGATGGCTCTTTGGGGTGTTCTGTGCAGGGCTAGGAGTTGGACTTGGATGATCCTCGTGAGTCCCTTCCAACTCAGAATCTGTGGTTCTACAGTTTCAACCGTTCTTGTTTCAATCCCTGAGTGCCCAGGCAGGCCCTGGCAACCCTGCGGCCCCGTGGAAGAGCCAGGTTGAATGTTCCTCAATACTGGGACCTTTTTCATTTCCAGTGGGAGTATTGCTCCCCAAAACATTCATTTTTAAATAGAGTTTCTAAGTGTGGGATTACTTTGAGAATATCCCATCCAGATGGGAAAGCAGAACCTGTGTGGTTTTTATCAGAATTGAATTTTTTGTTTAGTTTCTCGTGAGCTCTGTTTATATTACCAGATTTTTTGGGGGGCGGGGGGGAAGGGAGGAAACAGTGTTCTGTCTGGTCTGCTGTGTTATCAGAAAGACAAAAGGGAACCCCGTGTTGGTATGTCTGTCACATGACACTCACAAAATGTGCTTTTATGCTTTATAAGTGAGTCTTTTTCAACCTTACCTACAGATAGGCATACTGTAGTGAAGGAAAAACAAAACCAAAATCAAACCAAAACCATCTTATGTAAATGAATTACTGTTTTAGAGAACATGAAACCACAAGATATTTTATTATGCAGCTATTTGTTTGGCGTTCTAAAGTTCAGGCACCCCTTGTATTTGCACATTGGAGAATCACACTAGGGGAACTAGTGATGTTTTGTTTTCTTTTGCTGGTTTAGGTTGTGGAACTCTGGCAGTACTGGAACAAAATGAAGCTGGGATTGTTCTGCTCAGGAGGTAACAGGTCTAGTTTGTTTTTTAAGAGAAACCTTACTGTATACTTGTGAGTACAAGACAGAACTCAAGTATTTTGGGTTACTGTCAGTGATATAAAGTATCATATATCTATGCTAAAGTATTTACTGAATGCCCATCTTTGTATTTACATACAAATTAATGTATTTACATACAATACAAAAGATATGTTTACATTGCATGGATTTTGTTTCGGGAGGTCATCTGGCTCGTGTCACTTCCATGTGTAAACCGTTTTATAGAGAACTGATGATGTAATTTAAAAGCTGCCTTACTACCCTAGCTTGAAAGTACAAGCTTTAGCTTTTTAGGAACAGTGCCTTGCCACCTAAATTTATGCTCTTAATTGACTTTACTGGAAATAGAGCAGGAAGCTACATAAAGTCATAGGGGTCCTTCCTAAGAGATTAAATATTTAAAGCATTTGAGAGGAGGTTGATTTTGTGTTGGATGGAAGGAGGAGAAAGGTTAGGAAGGAAGGGGTTTAATACTTGACTGTCATTGACCTCAAACTTTTTTAAGGAAAGTTTTGAAACAATAGCTGTTTAGATTAAGAGAGATGAAATAGAAATGCTTAAAAATAGTTAATCATACTCAGATGAACTTTTTTTCGTTCATAATTATAAAGCAAGACTCTTTGAAGCTCTTCAGCATTCTGTTACTTCTGCTAAGTGCTCTGGCTTAGAACTGTTCATTTCTACGTTTCCAGTGACTCCACTCACTTTGTGGTAGAAAGTCCTCTTAACTTACTGAGCCGTAGACTGTTGTTGTTTTCTCTGTCAAAGCATTCTGTGTGCGTGCCTTTCCCTCATCAGTACTGCAGGGTACCATGAAGTTTAATCTCAGCTTAGCTAAACCTTCAGTGAAAAGGGATTAAATAAATTTTATTTGCTGTCAGATAGTAGCACAGCCGTTGACGGTGGGCACAGAGCAGCTAATATATGGTACCAGATCCCATATGATGAATTGTTGGTGTGTTGATAACCTTTTTAGGGGAATGTAGAGATCTTCAGTAAGTTCATGACTGTGTTTCTGTTGGTTTTTCATTGTGACTCAGATTCCTGATGATGTTGTGAAATTGGACAGGGCTCTCCCAACACAGTTTTATTTCTTACTTTACCATAATCGTTATAGACAAAGGACTCCTACCTGTGTAGCAGCAGTGTGGAGAAACCATAGATAAGACTGAGACATGTTGTACTTCTGTCTTTGTTTGCATGGCAAGTTCAAGACTGAAATCAGAGTTCATTCTCTCTGTGTGAAAGCTTCTTGGTTCATTTATGCTTTAACTATTTGGGCATACAGTTGTAGAAGTTAGCATTATAGCGAGTAAGTTATAATTGTAAGGAGATTCACTGGAACTCAAATATATAAAAATACTGTTTAGAATAGTAAAAAGGGCGATTTAAAGAAATACTATCTTTGCACGTAACTAGTCCAGATGTTTATGTCATGCTTTCTCACAGACAAATATTTTCGGTTTGTCGTTTAGTTTCGACTGGAATGATGGCCTGTTTGATGTGACCTGGAGTGAGAATAATGAACATGTGTTGATCACCTGTAGTGGAGATGGATCTCTGCAAATCTGGGATGCAGCTAAAACCAAAGGTCCACTGCAAGTCTATAAAGAGCACACTCTGGAGGTAAACTAGGCAAACTTAAAAAATTTAATGGATGATCTAATGTCTAAATAATGAAAAGATTTATTTGTGGTCTTATAATCAAAAGTGGCTTTTTGTTTCCTATTTTTTAACTTTTTGGGATTTGAATTAATAACATTACTTTTGAATATAAAGTGACCTACCTGCTATACATATTTTTACGTACATTCATATGCTGTAGTAGGTGCAGCTTAATTACACAAATCTAATACATTCAGAGTAGTATTTGTGGTCCCTTACGGGCTGAGTAACATTGTGTTATATGAAATTACTTGCAGTCACACTGTGATTTTTAGAGAGCTTTATTGGGTAGGTCTGAATCAGGCAGCTGATATATCAGTGTTGTCCTTGAGGTTATAGAGTGATACATGTTATGCAGATCCTTAGGACTTCTGTTGTACCCAGAACTGCTTATGCTTTTCCATTCTATCATCTGTGAGATCCTACAGGTCCTGTAGTCAAATGTTGGGACAGCGTGTATGATTTTTTAGCCTTGGTAGCATTGATTTCTAGCCTGTTGCAGTTGATTTTCCTAAAATCTCAGTATGCAGTGCTGTATGGGTAGAGAATAATGTTATGTTCAGGTTTATAAATATATTTGCATAGTTTTAAGGATATTTGACTGTAGTACATATATTTTCCCCAAAGTGATTTTTCTACCCCCATTTTTTTAAGCTTTCCTTCCAGCTCTCCACTCACTTCTGTCAAGTCTTTGAACTTTGGATACAGTCAGTTTTAGCCTGGATTACCGATACTTTAGCTAAATTACAACAATCTCGATAAAATAAATTACTAGATATGTAGTCAATAAAAATGATGGAAGAAATTCAGTTTTCTTCACAAAAACCTCAAGACTTTTTCAGATACGAAGTATAAAGCTAAAAGCTGAGTGACTGCAGTTACACAGCAGTCCATCTTCTGTACCATGTGTCTTTGTAGTTTTGCTAATTTTGTTTAATACATATACGGTGTAAACAAAATTTTGAGAATTTTACGGTAATTTTCAAAGGCTGATAGTAGTAAGTAGTTGAGGGAAAGTACCAAATTTTTTGTTAGTTTGTTTCTATCATTTTCTTGTTGAAATTCTGTCCATAAGTTTATTTTTGTTCTGCCACACCATCTGTTGTTTGTGAAGTAAGCATTTTTGTGTCCAAGTCTTGGTTTAGCAGGTAGCATGGGAAGGTGGGCATATTCAACCATGATTAGAAAGACAGTGTAGGAAACATGGGCTGAGTGTTTATTGTGAGATGTGAAAGGTTTGTATTGATTGTTTATGAGTTTGCATTAAGACGTAAGATCTCAGAGGGAACCTCACTGATAATTTGTGGTAAACACTGGCAGACAATGCTCTCACTACCTTCCTAATCCTTAAACCTCATCTGACATTTCTAATGACAGTTTTGTCACTGCATTTTATATTATTTCTGATGCAAGATTGATAGGGATCTGTTTCTTGTTTTCTGAATGAGATCATTGTCCCTTCTCAAAAAGAATGTGCATTTTTAATTTAAAAGTGAATTTGTATTATCAAAGGACAATGAGTTTTATTCCAGCACTTACCAACTGCTGAATCTCATGAATAAATTAGTCTGATTTAATGTGGTTTTGATGGAGTCTCACATGAATGTAAGAAAACAGAATACTTGAATTAAATTTGTCTTGTACAGCAAGCCTGAACATTTATTCTAAACGAAATTTTACATTTTTTACCCTTGTTTTTTTCTCTTGCCTGAGGCATTTCTTACTGTTCTTAAGGCATAAACTAATATTCATGTATTTTACGATTGAAGATAAAACACTGTCTTCCCCAGTTGCTCAACACAGCTTCTATTGAATTGCCTGCAAATTTATGTTGGGTGACACCATGGAAAGGAAAGAATAAAGAACCTCACTTAGTTCTCCACACCGTCATCTTTTCATTCTCTTCCTGTTACCTGAACCTGTCACGTGCCAAATGGACAGTAGCTCTTGCTTTCCCTGAGCCTGCTGTCTGTTCTCTTTGTAATTCTTGCCTGGAGGAGAATATGCCCGGGTCCCGTTGCCTCCGCTGCAGCTGCAGAGCGCTGAGCAGTCCCAGCCCCGTGTGCCATATGCACGCAGGTCTGTGTGTCAGCACGTGCGCGGCAGATCTCTGCGCCGATAGCCTGGGAGCGACCTGCGAGCCGTATGTGCGCTTTGCCTTAATCTGGGCAGTACATCTGATATGTCCCAAATACCATGGGGTTGGGTGTACGGGCTGCACGAGTTGTGTGATGCAGGTGCATCTTTCCCAGGGATGTGTTTATTTCTGGAAAACCTTGAACATGAGTATGAGAGCCAAACACTTCTACCGAGCTGTTTTGTGAAAGAGATGTACTGTATGGTGATTTTTAGATGTATTTAGGGGCATTTAGATTACATTCTACTAGGAATGTAGATGCATTTAGGGGCAATTTGAAACAGCAGCAGCTTAGGGGTTGAACACAGGCCGTCACACAAATTCAGGGATAAAGAGGGAGGCTAAGGTATGTGAGGAGCTCAGGCACCACTTTGGAGAACTGTCATGTCTTCGATTCTTAGAACTTCTGGCAGCACTTGTGCGTCTTCTTTATAACTGTTTTAGTAAGAAGAGTCAGGTTGGCAGGGAGGATGTTTTAATGAACTGTACTTCAATTAGTTAGCTAACAAAAGTAGAAAAGTCAAGAGGTAAAGGCATGGTTTGGCAAAACAAACAAAATAATTACTTCTAGTTATTTGGTTATTTGGCTTTTGTCAAGTATTGTCACAAGTGTCTTGTAGATTTGGATTATAAGCTCCTCAAGGAAGGGAACTAGTACAGAATGGGGCCAGAGCAATGTGGCTTTCAGTGTATGGGAAGCAAGACTTTGTAAAATAAAAAAGGACAGTTGAAGATAGTGCACTTTGTTTTTCTGTGGTTGTTTTCCACTTATGGAAAATAAGCATAGGAGAAAAACAGTTCATTTAAGCTGGATCTAGCATAGACCAAATTATTTCTTAGGAAGGGAAATGCTCAGAAGTAGCTATTACCTCACTTTCCTTTCTCACACAGGACACTTTCTATACAAGACTGGCATTTGCTGGATTTCCTTCCTTTTCAACTTCTCTGCTTTTTTGTCTGGTGACACATGTCCAAGCATTTTCACCTTCAAAACAGGGTTGCTGTCATTTAATAAACAATTCCATCTATCCAAAACAAACACAGTTACTAGTCATGTTGACTTGCAGATTAGTCCCGTGCTGTGCTAGAACTAGATTATCCCAGGTGGAGTACAAATCCTCAGTGGTTAGTGGCCCAGCCGTTGGAAGCAGTGCCACCTATTACTGTTAGGTAGTGACTACATTTCTAAGAAGTGTCATGGAAGATCTAATTGGGTCAGGAAGTGAAGCAAATAGACTGTTTTAGATAGTATTTTTCCACCTTAGCACTGAAAGGGTTCATGTCCCGCTGCAGCTTATTGAGCCGTTTTGATGTGAGGTAAAACCAGACAGAATAGAATGCACCTTCCATCAAGCAGATAAAGAAACTGTGTATTTGAAGATGGAAGTTGTGTGTGAGACTTGGGGATTTGTTTTTGCAAGGCAGCAGAGCTGAAAAATCAGCAGTGAAGGATAGAATTAAGGTATACTCTTGTTAAGATGGGGACCAGTACTTGAATACACTGTCAGGGAAGAAGGAGCTGTTTTCAACTACAGAGTAAAAAAGCAATTTCTTAAAAGCTAAAATTATTAGCAATGAGGGAAGTTGAACTTTTAATTTCATTTTATTTTACTTGTTTGAAGATTTGAATGGTAAAAAAAAAAGTGTCATATGACCATGAAATGATGAAAAAACCAGGAGTATTTTATGATATGTATTTCTTAGGAAAATTAGGTATAGTAAAAGCATTTATTGTTAGCTAAAACCTCAAAGTCAGATGTGGAGATGAAATTTACATTGCTCACAATTGGAGACTGTAGGTATTTGAATAAAAATGGATCAGCAGTAAGAAATTAGTTTGGATGACAGCTTTTAAGGTGGTAGACTTCAAATCATGGTGGATGTGTGTGGATTTTATTACAGCTTTTTTTTTTTTTTTCCCTTGGTTTGGCCCTCTGCTTTTTTGGATATTTTTCTGAGCCTATCTCTACCTTTAATGCCTGGCTGAGATGATAAGTTTAATTTTTGTTCAGGTAAATAATATTATTGGCAGTTTTGTGGTGCTTGACTGGTAGGGTTTTTTTAGCTGACTAGGATACAACCTAAAAATCCAAGTGTATTTTGTGAAACTTTGACTAACTACAGTCTCAAACTTGTATTCTGATGCTCCTTCTAAACTATACTGTTAAATCATTTATAGGCATATAGTGTTGACTGGAGCCAAACTAGAGGAGAGCAGCTAGTGGTGTCTGGTTCATGGGATCAAACAGCCAAGCTGGTATGTTGGTTTTCTGCTGAAGGTGAAAAATATTTTGGATCTGATAGTTCTTTGTGCTAAGAAACAGCATTGATGCACTTTTGCTCTTTATTTTTACCCTAAGGCTGAAATTCTGTTTTAACTGAAGTGTTGCTTAATCCCTCAGTTGATATCAGTTTAAATATACAAATGTTTTTCATGATACATGCTAAAAAGAAGTTAATTTAGTCCTTTCTGTATGCATGCTTTTTTTTAAAAAATGTTTGAAACTCTTTCCTTTCTTATTGAATATTTTTCTTTCTTACTGAACAGTTTTCTTTTTTACTTTATTCAGTGGGATCCAGCTGTGGGGAAGTCATTATGCACTTTCAAAGGCCACGAAGGGGTCATTTACAGCACTATATGGTCTCCACACATCCCAGGTTGTTTTGCATCTGCCTCAGGTAAACATGATGGTAAAGAGGTTCTTGCAACAAAAAACCAAAAGCCACCTTTTATGTTCTTGGATTAGTTCAGCACTTTGTCCAGCAGATGGTAGTGTGTGTCATACATAAAAATGGAACAAGGAAAGGTAAACATATTGCTGCTACTGGATTTGTAGGTTCTGTTACAATCAGTTAATCATCCTCTTTTCCATTTAAATAGGGATCAGCAGTTCTCTAACAGTGACCTTGTGGCAGTTTTGTCTGTTATTTTATGTAACTCTCTTCCATTCCTCTCACTCTTGTTATTGACCACTAAACCACGTTATGTACTTTATTTTGTGTTTTGGCCTACATTTTTGTTCAAACTGTCTCAAGTAGATTAACTATAAGAAATGTAGTCAGTTCCTATTGAGTTGTTTTAAGTACTTCTGTAAATCTTTGTGTGTTGTTCTTTGGGAAAGGTAATGATCAGTTTTATTTTCCTGCTTTGGCCACTGCTGTCAATGCAACAATAATTGAATTTGGTGTACCCTGAGGCAAAGAGAGGTGAGGTGGTAGTGTTTGCCAGACACTGCTCCTGCTCCAGAGGCACAAGAAGAGCTCTGGAGTGAGACCTGGAGTCCAGCTGATGACTAACTGGGCAAGGGGTGCTGGTAGCCAGGGTGCTGTGTGCTTGGAAAACGGAGGGGCTGTAAGACACTACCCTAATACAAATACTGATAGATTAACTCCAGGGGGTTGAATTTCTCTGATTTCAAGTCTGTTGTACATCTGATTCAAATAGAAATTCTTTGTCTCTTATGTCAAGAGGATAAGCAAGTATAAATATGTTTTCCTGTTACCAAAGTTAGAGAGACAGTGTGTACACATAGATACTGGTCTTCACTACTCTGCAGGAAGTTTGATGAAAAAGTGCACGTGGCTTCCATAAAATTTCAGTCAGTGGCTATTTCCTTCTGATTCTGCCTGCAGAGTTAAGCTAGAATGACTAACAAGTCATTAGTATTTGTTCTAAAAGGGTAGTGCTTGAAAGCCAGATGCTGGAGCACCAATATTTCCTACTTATTTGAAGAATCACCAAGGCACCTCTTAGTGAGTTAATAGGATGTGCAGAAACTTACAGGATTGAGCCCTGTACACTGTATGAACAGTTTACTGAAATGCAGCTATATGCTACAAAATGCTAGCTAAGTACTGTTTGGTCAAGGTTAAGTGCTTAGTGTTTTTTGCAAGTTCTGAGGGATGCTACGGTCTCTAAAGTCCTGCTCAGAACCCTCCTGTCCATGGTAGTCTTACTCATACAAAATTTCTCACATTCTAGATGAACAGAAGGGCTGTACTGATCCAGCTAACTATTTCAAATTTGAATCTCTAGGATATGAAGCCAAACTCTCTTCTAATATTGCCACTTGAACAATTTTGGGAAACACTGATTGTTAGATGCTGTATGTCATGATACCTAAATTGGGTACAGCACCATACAATTGATCTGTTCTTTGAGTGACTCAGTGGGTGCAGCTGTTGGAATTTTTGACTAAAACACTAAAGAGTTCCTATTCTTTTGCAAATTTTACTTGATTCTTGAAAATGACTAACATACCACTGGAGCCTAATGCTAATTGCAGTCAGTTTTCTCTGATTGATGACTCCTTAGTATTATATAGGAAAAACAGCGTGCACAGAAAACACAACATTTTTCTTCTCTAAGTACTACACACGTGTGAAATAATTATCTACCATCAGTACACTGGTAGTGTAACGCTAGGTGTAAAATCATTAGGTAAGAGAAAAAGAAAAATCTTCAAAAAGATGGTGAACTTTCTTATGGTTTTCAAAATAAAACATCTGGTGTGCTTCTAGAGGAAATGTCATCAAGCCAGGGATCTTGCTTAGAAGTCATGACACCCTAATGAAAAAAAGGTTTCTGTGTTAGCATTGTTTACATTTGAATTTTCCTGTGCTTTGATTGGATTACTTCACTACAGAAAATACATATTGGAAGTCTTTTCTTTGGTCAGCAGGACTTGGAATGGTAGAAGTCCTTGTGACCCTCTAGCTCTCTGTATAAATGCCATTTCTTATTGTAAAAAGGACATACTAGACAGTTTATCTTCAGAGAGTTTAGTGTTTAATGATGTTCTACTCTGCCAGTCAAAGTATGTGATAGCAGACAAGTGAAACTGTTCAAGAGGCTGGACCTCCTCATTTGAAACTTGCTATGATCTGTATACTTTATAAAGATGGCAGAAAATCATGGGACAGAAAGCTTAATTTCACTGCTGATTGATCTTTTATTAAGCTTAACTTGGAGCTGGGGATAAACTTGAATCTCAGTGTGATAGTACTATGTCGAATTTACAGCTGTTCTTTGGTACACTGGCTGGGAAGGCTGACCTGCAGTTTTGTGGTCTTTTATTTTCCAACTTTTTGTTGTCTTGAAAATTAGTAACTAGAAACGTATCTGGAGGGATTTTTTTTTTACTTCCTTTCATCTCCCTTTTTTTTTTTTTAATTTAGGCAGTAGCTTTTTGACAGTTATTGTTGAAGAGTATTGAAACGTTCACATCTTGAAGGAGTCTATAGTGCTTTGGGATTGTAAGGGGGTGTGTGTGTGCTTTCTTTCTGTTTCTTGCCCCACCTGTCCCTTTCTCTCATCCCACCTCACACATATCTGTGCACAACCATGAACTTACTGATACCTCAATAGTATAAAGTCATAGTGCTCAAGAAATTTACTGTTTCATGTTGCAGCATATTCAATTCCATGCATTCCATGTATAGTGAAATAAGTTAGGTATGTTGTGAACTACAGATTGGAAAAAACATTGGTCTTGAAATACTTCTGGTTAAACTAAATCTAAGTAAAACAATACAATCTCTTTTTTTAAAAACTTTTTTTCTTTAAAGAGAATAAAAAAGAGGGAAGGATGTTTAAGACGATTTTGCAAGCCTCACCTCCTCTGCCTTTAGTTGGATCCCCATAGATGCCAGCAGAAGTTTAATTTCCATGTAACTAATTAGTTTGTGAACACTGAAAACAGAAAACCAAACAGAACCACAAGCCACAGTAAAACAGCTGCTCAGAAGAACCAACTTACGCCTGAAGCTAATCTCTGATTTTGCTATATGACTTTTTCTCAAGCTATTATGGCACTACAAAATGAATCTAAGTGAAGAAAATGAGAAACCTAAGACTGCAATTAAAAGCAGTTAAAAAAAGAATTTGATAGTAGTGTAGCTATTTTGCTACACTAAATCTCCATTCTGAATACATACAGGAAAACTGATCTTATCTGCAGTGGGCAATAAAATGCAATTGAATTACAAAAGATATGTATGATGCTTCAGTTAAATCAGCTTTTATTCAGCATCTAGGAAACTTCCATTTAGCATTTACAGGGATGTGCAAGGTACTTTACAGTGCTGTTGTCTTCATGTACAATTATTTGTGCTCTCAAAAAGAAAGTAAGTGGTTTATCTTTTTTATTTGAAAATGAGAGTTAATAGTAACAGAACAAACTCTTAATTCTATATGTGTAAATAACTGCTCCTGTGATGTCAGTAGCAATTTCTGAGCTGATAAGATAAGCAGGACATTCAGGAGTACATGTGGCATCCAGCTAGAGCCCTGGTAGATGTCTGCCTTATGCTGAAAACACGCTGATGTGGAAAATGTCGTTAAAGTAGTGACATGA